ATTCCTGCTTCCATAGGATGCCTAACTGGACCACCCTCTCCTAGAAATGGAACTCTTTACTCAACTGTTCTATTCCCAGTCCACCCAAGAGAGCTTTGACACTCTAAAAGAGGGAGTATGTATATATGAATGTGTATGCTGGGGGTGGAGGTGGGGATTGGTTTTCTTTTATAATCACCTTGGAGGGGACAGGTTCAAACTGCCCTCACACCCCCTGGAGATCAGGAAAAATTAATACTTCCACTCCAATCCTACTTTTCTCACCATCCCCAAATTACAACCACTGATGGGGTAAAGAGTACCCTTTAGCTTTTTAAGTAAACAAGGGATAGAACCTTTGCTATTACTACACCCTCCTTTTCCTCAAGCACTACTAAGAGGTTCAAAATTTTTTCAATCTACTCCTCGTACAGTCCAAATCTGTTAAAATATTTTTTCTCCCCAAAGAATTTAACAGAGGCATTACTATGCTTAAACGCATTTTACCTTTAGAGATAGTTTTTAAAGCTCTACTTACTATCTTCTGACAACAACTGTCTTTGCTGAGTCTAGTTTTTTACATCCCTCCATCTTTTATTAAAATAATTGATGTAGATGAAACAGGTAAGCCATTTTCCATAACAATATTAACTATTCTACTGCACTTACACTCTTTGAATCTCTCTCTCTCTCTCTGCATTTACAACATTTATATACAGCACTCAAGTTTAGAAAGCACTTCCACACATATTATCTCATTTGATTCTCACAACCCATCTAAGTTAGGCAGGGCAAATATCTCTGTTTTTAAACTGAAAGAGTACTTTGAGAAGTTAACTGTTTTGCCCAGTCTCACATGGCTAATCACTAGAGTAGAGCTCAGATTCTTATACTCTAAACCCTCTACATTAAATTGCAACCTCGTTTGAAGAAGTATTTCTTGTGTTTCATGCAGACATAACAGATAAACTACCATAAGATACCTAGGTCTTACTATGTTTAGAATTCAAAAAACAATACCTACCATAAAAAAAGTTACTTTTTCCAGATCCATTTCTGCCCACTACAAAATCAAAAAGTCCATGTTATTTTGTATAAAAAACAATAAAACTTTACAGAAAGTATTCAAAAAATATAAAATCCAATTTTCTAACATAACATCTTAAAAACTGAAATTAAGTACAACAGAACAGTGAACAACAAATCAATAAACAAAACAGCTTTAATTACCAGATGAGTGCAATTTTTGCATAGTCTTCAGATAATTTTTTTCTTAAAGAAATTTATTTCATTGTTTATATTTTTGCTCTTTCCCAATACTTTAAAATTAACAGGAATAACTAAATATACTACCTGGTTTTCATGATTTATAATCATTACAATGGACATATAATTCTATTTAATTGTATATAATAAAATATTTTTAACAATTTAAAGATTCAAATAATGCTAAAAATTTAAAATACTTAAACAATCATTTAAAATTTTCAAACCATTTCCCTGTTAAACAGTTTCTGATCAGCCCTATACATCATGTATAGTTCTTAGAATCACAAAAATACAGACAACAATGAGGCACTTTTTTTTACTACCTCAGTTCAGAAATAAGCAATTCTATACATAAAAGGATATCAAATGTTTTAGATTTAATGAATTCTTTTGAACTTCTTTTAACAAAAGTTTCATTGTTAAGAGTCATGAACAACTATGCCACTCTCTCTCTCAATCTTGAACAATATCCTGAACAAATTAGCCCCAAAGTCATCACCTTTAATCCAAGATTAATTCTAAAGAAATCAGAAAGTAATGAAGTGCTTTAAAAAAAAAAAAAAAGGCATATAACAGACACAGAGGCCAGCCTGAAGGGGGCTTCTATTAGCTAAATCTCGGACAATTTGAGCACCAAAATAATTAGATGAATTATAAATTAGTGCTGGGACAGCGGTGGGTGGGAATAATCCATGAGTCCATACTGATAATAAAAAGATAAATATATAGCTAAGGAGTGAAGATGTTTGATTACAGTAGACCAAGTGGTAAATGTGAAAGGAGTGCTGGAAATGGAACATTATCATTCTGTAACCATCAGAATAAAGGCAAGAATTATCAATGAATGCTAAATCTAAGGGGGAATTTTGATAAGGAGCACAATATGTGCATAGTCCAAAAGTCTCTCCCCATCTCCATATTATTTATTAGTTGCAAGGGAGAAAACACTAACTATACGGCGGAAAAATTGGACAGAATCTCTACTCAATGATCAAAACTATCATCATCAATAAGAAGTAGATGGATATCATGTGCCTCCAGGTGGAATACCCTGAAAAGGACACATCATTTATGTAATATTTTTCAAAAATAACATTGTAAAAGACAAAGGAAGGCTGTGGAAATTATCCAGATTAAATGAGACTAAAGAGGCATGACAACTAAACACAACGCCTGATCCTAAATTAAATCCTGTACTAGAGGGGGGAAAATGCTACAATGAAAATTTCTGGGTCAGTCAACATAGCTAGAAAATAAAATAACATTATTGTATTGATGTTAAATTTACTGACATTGATAATTACACTGTGATTATATAAGTAATATCCCTATTCTTAGAAAGTACACATTGAAGTCACAGGTAAAGAACCATGATGTACATAACTTACTCTAAGGAAAAATAAGTGTGAGTGAGTGCAAATGATAAAGCAAGTGGGGAAATGTTAACAGTAGATTTGGGGGACTTCCCTGGTGGTGCAGTGGTTAAGAATTCGCCTGCCAATGCAGGAGACATGGGTTCGAGCCCTGGTCTGGGAAGATCCCACACGCCGCGGAGCAACTAAGCCTGTGCGCCACAAGTACTGAAGCCCACGTGCCTAGAGCCCGTGCCCCACAACAAGAGAAGCCACTGCAGTGAGAAGCCAGTGCACCACAACGAAGAGTAGCCCCCACTCACAGCAACTAGAGAAAAAGCCCATGTGCAGCAACGAAGACCCAATGCAGCCAAAAATAAATTAATTAATTTAAAAAAAACCCCAAAACAGTAGATTTGGGTAAAGGATACACAAGTAATGTCTCTGTACTGTTCTTATTTATGCAACTTTTCTGTAAATTTGAAATTATCACTAAATAAAAGTTTTAAAAGGCAATTTATCATTAAAAAATAAACAGAAATAGTTCAAACCATAATCCATTCATAAATAACTGAAAAATTTATAATTTCCCTAAGAATTGCTCCTACCCACACAGTGGAATGCTACATAGCAATTTTAAGGATGTTGAATACTTAATGATAGGGAA